TTATTCCAATAGCGTCCTCTACAATTAGGAGCTGATATAGTGATGCATTCTCTGACCAAATATATGAATGGTAAGATTCTATTTGTCACAATACTTTTATGGCTTCTAATTACTGAATCAGGTGAAGTGTATTTTATTAATATTTTTCACTTATAAGTAATTAAAACATATTAGCACATACTTAAAATTCAATAATATATTATTTCAAAATTTTGACATAAGTCAGAAATCTGAAACTAATCATTTGATTTATAATTTGGCATGTTGTAACATATAGCAAGTTATTATTATTATGAAAATATATTATATTTGTTAGTAAAGTTTATTATTAAAACAGTGTTTGTGGCTCCAAGCATAATTTTTTTAATATAAATTTATATGCTGAAACTTTCAACCACTGTCCCTATCCCTATGTATCCCAACATGGAAGTAGTAGTATGGGTTATGCTTATGGAGCCATGCAATGACAGCCTGTTTTATTTCATATTTATAAATGTGAACTGGTGAAATATTGCTTCAAAGGATCACATAGATGATAGTAATCACTGAGCAGAAAATGCTGGATCACACTGCATAAAGAGGATGCTCCAGCACATCCACACAATCATATTGCTGAAACCATTCATAACTTGTGTTATCACGAATCACTCTCCTCTATCTGTCTTGCAAGCACTATCACAAGTTGTCTGTACTTGGAATAAATCAGTGTTATTTCTCATTGTTTGTTTGAAAAAAATAAGGTTGTGTGGTGTGTGTATGAGGATTGCAAAGCTTTGAACACTACAATTTAGAAGAAATAAACAAAGAATATAGCATTTCAAGTGTTTATGAAAAAATAAATTAATTTTACAGAAATATAATACTGAATATTACGTTTAAATTAAGGTAATTTAATTGTTATGAATAATAAAAATTGTAATTCATTCAAATATTTTAAAAATAAAATAAAAATTAGAATTTCTATTAACAAAATTAAACATTAAAATTGCATATTTTAACTGATTTTTCTGACTTATTTTTTTCTTATTGTAGGCCATTCTGATGTTGTTATGGGAGCAATAGCAACAAATAATGAAGAACTTTACACTCGCCTCCAATTTCTACAAAATGGTATTTTATTAATAACTTATTTCTAAATAATTATTTGTAATTATGAAATTATAAAACACACCTTTTGTACTTTTTCAGTAATAACTGTAATCACAGACCAAATTCTTTTGGCCAGGCCTGTAACTTGGGCCAAAAACATGTTCTGTGATTAAAGTTAGTACTAAAAAAGTACAAAAGATATTTTATTATGATTTCATCCAAGAAATTCCAGCTTTTAAGAGAGATTTGTAATTATGATAATATAGTTCTTTAGTAAAGATTATTATTAAAACAGTGTTTGATGCTCCAAACATAATTTTTCTTCTATAAGTTTGCATGCTGAAGCTTTTAAACTCAAAATATATTTAAGGCTCTCGAACATTATAAAGCATTTAACATCTTCTTATTGTCAGAATCTCTATACTGTATAGTTGCAAATGTTCTTTCTAACTAAAATGTGTGAGGTTTCTGTTTGTTCTAAACATTTTTTAAATGACTAAATATTAACTTCTTTTATTAAAAAAAAAACTTTGATGTTAATTGGTAAGAAACAAAAAATAATACCTTTTAAATTTTAAGGTAAATTGTACATTAATGTAGAACAATTGCAGAAATATATACTAGCAGATGAGCCCGTCATTGTTCAGGCAAATAATAACAACAGCAAAGATTAAGATTATCAGATTATTCTGTACTACTAACCATTCTACTATATTATATTATAGTATTTGATTTACAAAGGTTATCTTACATAAGTGTTTATCACACCAAGTGCCCAATCTAACACATTTTTTAAATTGTGTACAGTAGAGGAATAAAGACTTTTTAAAACATGTTAGATTGATCATTCGGTGTAATAAGCTCTTACATAAGATAATCTTTATAGTTATTTAGCTGATCTGACCCATTTTCGTCAGGTGCAAGAATTAGGTCTGCTCCTCCGAGACTAATTAGAAAATTTTTAGATGGGTCTAAAAATATGTCCATTTTCCTGCAAAAATGCAAGAAACCACATCTAAAATAGTAGAGTAGAAGCCGAGTTCTTCAGGATAATCCTTAACTCTCTCCCTCTTCTCCATGGAGAAATTTCCAAAAATTTCTTTCTAGTGTGCATTCTCATGACATGCCCAAACTGTGTACCAAATTTAAACTTTCAACTTCTAACCATTTGGGCTTAGCAATTTATTATTATCATTATCATTATCAACCCATCTCAATTATATTATAAGATTAGGGTCAAATTTATGAGAAATTTTAAACCTCACTTGAATAAAATGATTAATTTTAAATTTTAAAATTAAAAAAAATTTGTCTGGAACATTATATTTCAAATTTGTTTATTTTGGATTTATTGTTTTTGGATTACCCAAAAGGTGGAACTGATTAAAATATTTATTAATTGCCAAAACGTATACTATACGTGCCACTATTTATTTTTCTTTCTTATGATTTACACTTTATACTAACTAAAACTAACTCCTCCCTCCTCTTCCCTTCAGGAGTGAAATTTCTAAAAAATCCCTTCTTAGTGTGCATTCTCATGATGTATCTTACTAAAATGCAGTCAAAAGTGCAAAAAACCACATCTAAAATAGAACAGTAGAAGCAAGTTCTTTAGGTTAAGCCTTAATCTTCTCCCTCTTCCCCACAGGAGGGAATTTTGAAAAATTCCTTCTTAGGGTATGTTATGAGAACATACCCTAACTGTGTACCAAATTTCAACTCCTAACTGTTTTGGCTCTGCACTTGTTGTTGTTATTATCATTATCAACCCATCTCAATTATATATATATAGATGTGACCTAACATTATTGCAATACAATTAATGTTCATATTTTTCTTAACTCTCAAATTATTAAATTTAATTTTTATTGATATTTATTAATAAAATAATTTCATGTTAATAATAAAATAAAATTTATTTTCATATTTATCAAAATGCTCTATAACTTTCCAATTTCAATAGATTTAATTCCAGTATTTAAAATTGGTTGTTCTGAACCTTTAATCTTCATTTCATTAACAATAGAATATATAAGTTCTTAAATATTGTTTGTTTAAAGATTATCTAAAACTTAACTTTGAATAATGTCAGTAATAAGTGTTATTATGATCAAACAGAAAATAAATTGTTTAAATTAATGCATGTAATGTACTTTCAGCATTAGGTGCAGTTCCATCTCCATTTGATTGCTACTTAGTCAATCGTGGCTTGAAAACGCTTCCTGTACGAATGGAACGCCACATGGAAAACGGTTTAGCTGTTGGAAGATTTCTTGAAAAGCATCCAATGGTTGAAAAAGTTCTGCATCCAGGTATTTATATTTTATATAAAAATATTTTAATAGTTTCTTAGTTCTTGTCTTAATAAAGTTTATTCTCTATACACAATCAATTTAAATTGGGAAATTATTATTTTTCTAATTGATGTTGTGATTTGAATAGAAAAAACATTTTAGTATTAGAAAAATTACAATACAATTTTGCAATGATGTTTATACATTTATATATCATGTCTTGGGGGCACTTTTGACAGTGCTGTCTGTTGGCGTTTTTTTTATGACTTACTGTTACAATCTACAGTTCAACTGTTTGCCATTAATTGACTTTATTGAGGATGTCTTTTTCTATCGTAATACTTTTTTTTAATTTTGTTATCTTTACTTATTATTGGAGGAGTTGAACTTAATCCAGATCCAATGTCTCGTACACCACCTTCTTCTCCTCGCAATAAAGCTTTGACTTCTGCTGGTAAACATAGTTGTTCTTCAATGAACCAACATTGAAATCATTTTGACTGGACAATTATTTTGCATCACAGAATATTCCTTCTCAAATACCTCAGAAGAGTGTTTTCTTGAGGACTGTTTTGATATTATTCTATTGAAACTGGAAGAATTGTCATTGAAATTTGACTGGTTGTCTAATTTACACCTGGAAGGAGAAATTACCAAACTTTCATCTTTTAAAACTGTATGTACGGATAAATTTTCTTTTTGGAATTATTATATAGACTGTATAAAACAATTAGAAGAAAAATAATGGTACCATTTCCAGTTTGAGTGGTAATGACAAAGAATTAGTTAATAATGCTAATGGCTTTATTGAGTTGTTTGAAAGACAGAACAGGGAGTCTATTTCTTTTATTAACAGTTATTGAATATTGGGAACTTGGCTTGTATTGTTTGAGCTCTATACTCAAGCTGAGAAAAGACTTATTTTTAAAAATTTAAAGAAAACTCGAGTGTTGCCAGCCTACTCACATATTAGAGTTTTTGATGATTTGTCATATAGATCAAGACTTAGGCATAGAAAATTGTTGCCTTTTTTTGTGGAAGCTAAATTTTTGAATAAAAAAGCATTTCTGAAAGCTGATTGCTTGATGGTGACAAATTCACTTTCAATTTAGAAACAAATGAACTACAAAAGATTAATACTTTAGGTAAATCCAGCCAAAAGGGTTAAGTGGAACATTTACTAAAGATAGGGATAAAACTTTAGTAATGAGAATATTGTCTTGGAATTGTCAAGGAACATTGGACTTGACAGTAAATGACCAAGAGTTTATATATTCATTGCAAAATTATGATTTAGTTGCTTTCACTGAGACTTGGTTAACTAACTATTAAATCTGAGTTCAACAAAGGAAGAACCTGTTTATATTTTTAAACAATTTGCTAAAAAACCAACCGGTCTTGGTTGTCCATATGGCGGTCTCATTCTTGCAGTATCCCAAAAACTAGGTTGTTTGGAATTGTTGTTTAAATCCAATGATTTGATAGTAATTAGATTTAATTGTTGGAAAAATTTTTGTTCACTTAGCTATAGTTTGATAATTGTTCTTGTTTATTTGAGAATAGATCTTTGTGATGTACTGTTAGCTAAAATGGAAGATTTATTTGTTGAGGAATTTTTCTGAGGATGACAGTTATTTTGGGAGATGCGAATACTAGAATAGGCAAGGAACTGGATAATTTTTATGCCAGGAGTAATATTAATTTTTTAAATTCCCAAAGATCTAATGATTTAATATTAATTAATTGTAAAAATCCTTTTCATCTTTGATTTAAGTCATAGGGATTATATATTTTAAACGGTCGATGTATCTCAGATTCCTGTAATATGCTTCTTGTCTAGTCTTGTGTCAATTATACTAGCATTATGACGGCTTTTCCTTTTTTGCTAGACTTATTACACCATGGTAATAATTCTAGCGAATAAGTCTAGTGAAAAAGGAAAAGCCATCATAGTGCTAGTAAAAGTGTCTCAGACTATCTGGCTAAATTTACTTTTCTCTCGACAGTCAGTTTACTGTTATTAAATTAAATCTGTAACAGATATAATTTATCTAATAAATTTGCCTTTTAGATTTTAAACTTGTTGATATTTTTAATTCTTATCATTTTCCAATTTTCAACATCGTTTGGATTTATAATGAATAATGTTTTTACTCTGAAACTTCCAAAAATTCATAATATATGAAAACAAGAAAGATAAATAATTATTTAATTTCTGATTAGTTTGCTATATATTTTAGTTAAAGGGACCTTTCTGTTGGATTCACAGAGTTACTATGATAAACTATTGAAGACTTTGTTAACTTCGGTTTTACAATGTGGAATGGTTAAGAAAAATATTTCTTTATTGTCATTTGAGAAATAATGGTTTGATCGTCAGTATCTATGCTTAAAGAAAACAAAAAACTGAGTATTACGAAAGTATACTCAGTTCTTTGTTTAGAATAGATTTCTAGTTTTGTAGAAATAAAACTATAAATCTATTGGACAAATACTGCAAATTAAATAAAAGCTATAAGTTGCTAAGTAAGGCAAAGAAAAAGTTATTTTTAGCTAAAATAAACTCATTACTATTGAAGACTAAAAATACTAGAGATTTTTGGTTATTAGTTAATAAATTTTGAATTAAGAAACCATATGAAAATGCTATGTCTCCCTTGAATTGGTTGAATTATTTGATAGAGTATTTCATTGGACCAAATACAGTAATTTATATTGATTTAAGCTTTGGTAATAATGTTTCTCTTTTGGATGATCCTATCACTTTGAGTGAATTGGAAACGGTAATCAGAAAATTAAAATTATCTAAGGCCCCCAGGTCTTGATAACATAAGGCTTGAAATGATGAAATACTATTAGATATATTGGATATGTTTCATTTCTTTTTGGACTAATTGCTCTTTTCCTTTATCTTGGAAACAAATTGCTTTAAGGATGATTTATAAGAGGGGAAGTAGGCAAATAGCAATTGGTCTATGATTAGTTGACTTAATTTGTGTATTTAAAAAGGTTTTTTCAACTATTATGGCAAATTGTGTCTGAAATTGGATTGAATGAGTTTAATATTGTTACACCTCTTCAAGGAGCATTTGTTAAAAATAGAGGCAAATATAAATTTGTTTATTTTAGTTGGTCTTATTCAAATATCACTTTTGAAGAAATGAGGGAAATTATATACAGTAGAGCGTCGTTTATCCGAAAGCTGGTTATCCGAAAGCATTCCAGTCGGCAAATTTAAATTTTCGCCAGTGCTGTTGCGCTGCAATCTTCGGCTATTTCTCGGGCTACTCAAATATTTTATGTTTTTGATACTAAATTAACATCTGAAGTATAATTTTTTATTGTTTTTATATTTTTCAATAAATTTATTTTGTTTGTACAAAATAAAAAAATAATTTTTAACGATACAATAGTCTTCGTTAGGCTTAACATCGACGAAAATTCAACGCGAAGCGACACGCAACGGAGAGAAATTTCAACATGGGATAAATTAATATATTTTTTCGTACATGATTCGTTATCCGAAAAATAAGTTATCCGAACCACCCCAGTCCCCAATTGATTCGGATAAACGACGCTCTACTGTACTGCTTTTATTGATCTCAAAGAAGCTTTCAATACAGTTTATTATGATTTGTTATGATATAAGCTTAGGAATATTGGTGTATCTGCATTATTTGTTAATTTATCTAGTATTAGAAAAAGAAGACTCTTATAGAGGCTTTTTCATTTTTTTGCTAATTATGTTGAGTCCAATAGAGTGCTACCTCAAGGAGAACCATTGAGTTCTATCCTTTTTATTTTGTTTTTGAATGACCTTTGTGACCTGAGAGGTTAAAGCTCTATGATAGTTAATTTCAACATGAAAAGTCTTCTTTTTTGCTGCTGAAGTCCTCTTAGCTAATTCAGCTTCTGTATTTAGGGAAAGACTGAATCTTACTTGGAGATATTGTGAAGATAATTAATTTGGAAAAGACAAAGCTTGTCAATTGATTATGATTTTTGTAGGGGTGGTAAACTTAAAAAAACAGACAATTTCAGTTTAGAAAATTATAAGCTGATAATTGTGCCAAATTTTAAGTATCTAGGTATTTATTTTTCTTCACAGGACACATTTTACTATTATTTAAATAAAGGTTTACTTGATGCAAGAGCGAAAATCTCCAATCTCATCAAGTTATTATTTATTAAAATTAAAGCATCTTCATTAAATAATTATTTTATATTATTTGATTCCTTGATTGGACCAAGTATTTTTTATGCTTTTCTGGTTTGGGGTGCTCTCTTAATGGACAGATTTGAGGTAATATAGTTGTTCTACTTTAAGCAGGTGTTCCATATTATATATGTATCTCATGACCTGCACTTAGAATGGAATTGGGAAGACCTCCCCTTGCTATTAATTTATAGATAAATTTGTTTTGGTTTTGGAGGAAACTTATTAATCTACCAGATGATGATTATTGAAAATTGATATATACAAGACTTTCACGGATAAATGGTAATTCTTTTTTGAAGCCATGACAGTTAAAGGATTATTAAATAAAAAATACATATAACTAGAGGATAATCCAATACTAAGTGAAAGTTTGTTTTTCCTGGATTGTGATTGATGACTGAGAGACTTACATTCTTTTAACTAATGTAAGTCTTTGAGTGAAAGAGGCTGAAACAGTGAAATTTTTCTTAATAAATAAGGTGCTGGAGTCTACATTCCATTGTCTAATTTGAGTTACAAAATAAAATCACTTGCTGCACAATTTAGATGAATTATTTTACCGTTTAAGTTTATCAAAAATCTGCTTAATGTCTCGTGTGATGCTGAATGTTCTTTTTGTGGAATGACAGTGGTGGATATGAGAAAACACCTTGATTCTTGTAATATTCTTTTTGGATAACCGAGTTGCTACACTACCATCCGAGTTTTGTTATCAAATTTTATTCGGTGACAGTTTCACCATGTTAACATATATAAATTATACACATTTTTTGTTTATATAATCAAATTTAAACTAACAATGATATTTGATATGATATCAATTTCTTTGTT